ATTTGGGGAATGGAGGTAAATTTAGTAGCAACACTAATAGCTCTTGTTTTTGTAACTTCCTGGAAAGACAACCAGAAAGTTTATTTATATTTTGTGAGTGGAATTTCTAGTCTTACTCTGCTTGTAAATTTAATAACATTTTTTTCAGGAGGAATGATTTTTTTGTTTGTTTTGTTTTGATAGTGGGGCTTGAACTCGGGACCTTGTGCTTACAAGGCAGGCGGCAGAACCACTGAGCTAAATCCCTGGCCTGATTTTTTTTTTTTTTTTTTTTTGAGACAGGGTTTTGTTCTGTTGATTCAGGCTGGCTTTGAACTTTTACGGTGATTCTTCTGTCTCTGCCACCTAAATGCTGGGCTTTCAAGTGTGCACCCCTGAACCCTGGCTAAAAGGAATGATTTTAAAATGAAATTGCTGTATTCTACTGATTTGGGATCAGTTCTAAGCAGATCAGTAGCTAAAATAATTTATCTTTTTTTTTTTTTTTCAATGCTGGGGATTGAACCCAAGCCATCTGCACTGAGCTCCATCCCCAACTCTTCTTGTTTTTTATTTTGTAACAAGGTTGCACTAAGTTGCTAAATTCCCCAAGCTGGGCTCAAACTTGTGATCCTCCCGCCCCAGACCCTTCGAGTGCTGGGGTAACAGGCGTGTGCCATTGTGCCCAGTTTGAAATAATTACCGTAGTACTACTCCACGTATACTGTTGTTAGCCATGAAGCTGCCACACAGGAAAGGGGCTGTTCTGCAGATGCCCGCCTGTAGGACGTCCTGTCCAGGAGACACCCTGTCCCAGGCTCACTGCTCATGGGTGAAGCAGCTGTAATGTGTAGATAATCTTCACCATCTCTGAAAACGATGCCCCAAAGTAAAGGCTTCAGAAACAGCCTCAAAAACAAAAGCAAAGCCTGTCTCTGACCTTCTCTTGTACTTCATTCTTCCCCAAGGCAAGGCATAGATTCTAGAATTTCTCTTCCCCAAAGTGGGTCCTGGAAGCTAGAACCCCGTTTCCTCGAGCAAGCTAGAAACCCTAAAACTAGCACTCCAGTCTGCTCCACCTTTCCGCATTAAGAGCTGAGCATACGTAGTTCTGTGAGCTACCTTGTTGGATTGTATGTTACAAGCCTGTCATTCCACAAAAGGTCCTGCCCCACGTGGAAGCAAAGACTGCTGCAGCCGAGGGCCAAGAGGAGTCAGCAGAGAGACCTGTTTGCTTCTCAGCCTTTTATTATACTGGTGCCTTCTGGACCTGTGGTGGGCAGGGAAAGAATCCCTTTCCTTTTTTTTTTGCTTTGTTTTTGTTTTTTGAGGCAAAGTCTCACTGTGTAATTCATACTGACCTTGAACTCACTGTGTAGCCCAGGCTAGCCTCAAGCTTGTGGTCCTCCTGCCTCAGCCTCCTGAGTGCTGGGATTATAGGCATGTGCCATTCTGCTGGATGGAATGGCCATTCTGCTGGATCTCTCAGCCTTTAAGCTTACCGATGAGTGAAAAGTAGTTTGTCACTGTGAACCTCTGTGTGAAAGCAAAGCCCTGTGAGTCTCTATTTTATCCTACTTTATACTTTATTCCTATTTGTGGTGCTGGGGATCAAACCCAGGGCCTAGTACATACCAGGCAGATGTTCTATGGCTGAGCTATACCTCTAGCTCTGCTCTGAGCTTTCTCTCTCTCTCTCTCTGTCTTTAAATATGATGCTTGGGATTGAACCCAGGTCCTTCATTTTGAGCTACATCCTTAGCCCTTTTAAATTTTTTTTTTTTTGAGACACATCTCACTAAGTCTCTAAGTTCTCCAGGCTGGGCTTGAACTTGGGATCCTCCTGCCTCAGCCTCCCAGAGTGCTGGGATAACAGGTGTACACCACGATGCTTAGTTTCTTTCTCTCTTTTAGGTACCGGCAACTCTTGGGTTTGTCTCCTACCTTGAACTTCTCTAATCTGTTAAATTAGTCATTTTAATTTTCTTTCTTAATAAGCAGATCAGCTATAGGACTTTTCTAATAATAATAATATACATGTTTACTATATAATTTTTAGGAAAATATACAGAAGAAAATTAACATTATCCATAATTTGAATACCTAGAAAGAACTAGTATATTCCCTATTTATTTGTAAAACTTATATTAGTACAGGGTTGAGTCATAGACCACTTGTGGCTTATGTCTAGATGTCCCCCCCAAAGACTCATGTGGTCATAGGGCTTGTTCAGAGGTGGCTGAATGTAGAATGTGTGATGCTAGGATTAAGGGTGTGTGATTACTAAATCAATCCACCAATTGGTTTGGTATCTCCCTAATCCCAGTAGTCCTGGTAAAATAAAGGTGGCAGAAAGGTGCGGTTAAGGTCCCTTGTTGCTTTTGCTACTTTTGGATGCCATGAACTATTTCTCCTCTGTGATTCCCCTCTGCCATGTGCCACTCTGCCAGCCGATTATGGACTGGAACCTCTACAAACTGTGAGCTAAATAAACCTTGCCTCCTTTAACTTTGGATGTCAGGTGTTTTGTTTCAGCAATGAGGGAAAAGTAACTAGACACCACTCTTTTCCTTTGCCTATTGGAGGCCAGTCAATTCTCCATCTGCCTAGAAAGGGGGATGGTGAGAGCTAAAGAAAGAGAAATAGAGACATCATTTTGAAGTACGGGGTGGAGGGTCTGGGAGGTCAGTGCTAGAGTTGGCAAAGACAAGACACCCTGAGCTGGCTGCCATTTATTGGGTACACACAATAATTGGAGGGAGTATGGGGTGATTTGGGGGGGAGGGATTCTTATGTTGATCAGGATCTTAGGTTGATGAGGCTGGTGAGATGGGAAAAGCATTCTTATAACAGTAGGTGGGATGAGATAGCAGGCTAATAAGGAATTTGTCTTTCCCCCAGGTGAAATGTTTCTTTAATAATTTAATTTTTGGGGGCCAGGGATTTAGCTCAGTGGTTCTGGTGCCTGCCTCGCAAGTGCAAGGTCCCAAGTTCGATCCCTGGTACCAAAAAAAAAAAAAAATAATAATAATAGTTTAATTTTTTATTACTACTTGATTCTCAAAGAACCAGGATGTCTTCAGCTAATGTACTCTTGCCCTTGAGCGTAACAGTGTCACAGGACCATCAAGGCCTCAACTTGTGACTGGAGGCAAAGTGGAGTTATGTTTCCACATACCATAGCCAGCTGGGGGCAAGGTGACATTGGGCCTTAGACAGTCCTAGTCATAATTTAATTATGAAATGATTTTTTTCCCCAAAATTATGTAGAATGGCTCTTGACGCTTGTCATTTTCAGTGTCATTAAAAAGTATTTTTCTAGCCAGGCATGGTGGTGCACACCTGTAATCTCAGCACTTGGGAGGCTGAGGCAGGAGGATCACCACAAGTTTAAGGCCAGCTTGGGCTATGATGCAGTGATTTCAAAGCCATCCTGAGCTACATAGCGAGACCCTGTCTAAAAACAAAAAACAAAAAACAGTATTTTTTGCCAGGCATGGTGGCACATGCCCATAATCCCAGCACTTGGGAGGCAGATTGCCACAAGTTTGAGGCCAACCTGAACTACATAGCGAGCCCCTGTCTCCCCGCCAAAAAAGTATTTTTCCCTGGTGCTGGGGATGAAACCTGGGACCTCACGCATGCTAGTTGAGTGCTATACCACTGAGCAATACTCCAGCCCATGAAAAGCCATTTAATTCATGGCAGATGGTTTAGCTGGTGGGAACATAGCCCTGTTGTATGGCATTGTTGCCTGTTACTGCATATGCTGCTGGAGACTCATCTCTGGAGATGGTTTGTCTGGGAGCTTGCTTTGTGCTCAGTTCTTGGATGGCAGCTGATGCAGCTTAGGACAAACCATGCAGAACTGGTGGAGGTGTGGAAAGAGGTGGCGCAGAGCGGCCCTCATTGTGCTGCTGTTCTTTTACGGCAGATGCAAGGTCCTTTAGTATAAAAAGCTGCGATGCTTTGTGAAGGCGGCCTTTGCTCATGGACTTGAATCACCTCGTGTTTCTTTAGTTCATTCCTGGTGATTGGATTTCTGTGTCAGAGGCATTGATGACCGTGGCTTATGGCCTTCCTGTAGTGTACTGATGGGCACTTTGAGCAACAGCGAGTGCACAGTCAGGATGAACTATACCTTGACCTGCTTTTGCACTATCTGGGCCCCCGATGAACCAGGGCTTCTTGCAGGTGCTCTCTCCCATGGAGCTGTACCCCGTCCCTAGCAGTCTTCTAACTCTGCAGCCAATTTCTTGGCTTAATTTGCATTTTAAATGCAAATTAAAACCCACTAGTGGGTTTGGGGCTTTTATTTATTTATTTGTTTTGTCTTGAGATAAGAGTCTCACTATGTAGTTCAGGTTGGCCTTGTGCTCACTATGTAGCCCAAGCTGACCTCGAACTCTCAGTGATCCTCCTGCCTCAGCCTCCCAAGTGCTGGGATTACAGGTGTGCACATCCAGCTGGAACTTTTGTTAAGTTTAATAATTCATTTCTTCTAAGTTGTCCTTTCATTTCTTTTGGTCACTTTTCTTTCTTTTTTTAATTAAGTTTATTGGTACATTTTAGGTATACAATACAGTTACATTCATCATTGGGATCTTGTACCTTTACATGACGTATCTTGGTTCTTATTTTTTTCCCTAGTTTGCTCACTTTTCTATTAGAATTACTGATTTCAGGCTGGGGATTTAGCTCAGTGGTTCCACTGCCTGCCTCGCAAGCACAAGGACCCGAGTTCCATCCCTGGTACCAAAAAAAAAAAAAGAATTAGTGATTTTCTTCTCAGTTTGTATGAAAATTCTGTTAGTATATAAGTAATCTTTCATCAAGGTTTTCACTTGCCCCAGAATAGCAAATAACTGTAAAACATTAATTATTGGTCCAGTTTTCTGGTGTCATCTAGCTCATGAGAGTTTTCCCTCAAAGCTGGATTATTTGCTGATTGGTCATGATAATTAATTCAGGTTTTGTATAAGCTGTGTTGGATAACTGGGAAATCCACTTTATCTTTGCAGAAAGTGGAAATGATGTGAAGCACACCCTGTGGAGACGAGTAGGAAGGTCCAGGGGGCCATGGCCTGGCCCAGCGTGTTCCAGAGAGGAGCTCTGCTCACCCGCTTCAGCCACCACCATGTCGTCGTGTTCCTGCTCACCTTCTTCAGGTAGCACTTGGCCAAAGCTGCTCACCTTTCCTCGTGTTTGGTCTGCCCTTGCTGGCATAGGCCTCTAATGAAATGCAGTTACTCTTCCTCTTGGTCTGTTTGGTTTTTGGTTTTGGTGCTGGGGATTAAACCTAGGGCTTCTGCCATGCTGAGCACATGCTGTACCACTGAGTCACACTCCCAGCTGCCCTCTGCTAGACTCTTCCCTTAAATATGTAATATAACTTTCTTAACTCAGATTTTTGTTTTTTCGAGGCAGGGTCTCACTATGTAGTTCAGGCTGGCCTTGAACTCACTCTGTAGCCTAGGCTGGCTTTGAACTCACAGGGATCCTTTTGCCCCAGCCTCCCGAGTGCTGGGAGTAGAGCCCAGCTCAAAATTTTAATTGAATTGTATTTATTTAAGTTTTTGCAGTACAGGGGATTGAACATCCCTGCCCTTTTTAAAAATTCTTATATTTCAAAAAAAAAAATTCTTATATTTCAAAGCTGAGCGTGGTGGGGCATGCCTGTAATCCTAGCACTCAGGAGGCTGAAGCGGGGAATCATTTTGAGTTAAGGGCAGCCTGGGCTACATAGTGAGACCTTGCCTCAAAAAAAATCAAAAATAAAAAATATTTTGAGGCAGGGTCTTGATAAATCGCTAAATTGCTCAGGTTGGCTTCAGCTTCCCAGAGTGTGAAGATTGTAGGTTTGTGTCACCATGCATAGCTTCATTTTGGTTTTTCTTTCTTTCTTTTTTCTTTTTTTTTTTTTTGGTACCGGGAATTGAACTAAGGGCCTCTCGCTTGCCAGGCGGGTGCTGAGCTGCTGAGCTACATCCCCAGCCCTTCAATTTGATTTAATAATTCTCTCAATAACTGTTGTTTTTTTTTTGGTACCAGGGATCGAACTCAGACCCTTTTGCTTGCAGGGCCAGTGGCAGAACCACTGAGCTAAATCCCCAGCTCGATTTAATAATTCTCTTTTGGCAACACTGGGGATTGAATCCTGGGCTCTATATACATGCAAATCCAATTCTTTTTTTTTGGTACTGGGTATTGAACTCGGGTCCTTACGCTTGCACAGCAGGTGCCGGAACCACTGAGCTAAATCCCCGGCCGTAAATCCAATTCTTAACCACTGACTTGCATCTCCAAACCTATTGAACTGTTATTTATTTATTTATTTTATTTTTGCAGTGCTAGGGATGGAACCCAGGGCTTTCGCACTCAGCTGCATCCTCAGTCCTATTTTATTTTGAGATAGGCTCACTGAATTGCCCAGACTGGGCTTGAATTTGGGATCTTCTTGCCTGTCTGTCACAATACTGGGATTATCAGACTGCACCACCAGACGTGGCTGGCTGGCTGGCTGCCTGCCTACCAGCCTGCCTCCCTCCCTCCTTATCTCTCTCCCTTCTTACCTGTTTGTTTGTTTGTGGTACTGGGCATTTAATCCAGGGCCTTAGCCCTGAGTTACATCCTCAGGCCCTTTTGTTTTTGAGATAGGATAAAAAAAAAAAAAAAGAAAGAAAGGGGATGTATTTGGGCTGGAGATTTAGCTCAGTGGGGTTTCGCTGCCTACTGTGCAAGAGCAAGAACCTGAGTTCGATCCCCGGTACCAAAAAAAAAAAAAGAGATAGGTTCAAACTAGGTTGCTAAATTGTTCTGGCTGTGCTGGAATTGATGACCATCCTGCCTCAGCCTCTCAGAGTGCTGGGATTACAGTTGGGCTCCACCACACTTAGCTCCTGTTGAACTTTTTAACAGCTCTAATAAAGTAGTTTTCAAGCCATTTTACCCTCCGGGGGACGTGTGACAATATTTGGAGATAATGTGATTGTTGTGATGGGGGAGGGGTGCTGTTTGAGGCCTGTGTCAAAGACTGGAGCGCTGCTAAACATCCTTCTATGCCCAGGGCCCTCGACCAGGAGCATTTGGGCACAAACTCACCAGTGCGGAGGCAAGAACCCCTGGCTAGTACTGAGTCCTGCATCTGTGGAAGGGGAGCTTGGGATCAAGGGTGTGCATATTCAGGGCGGGCGTGGCCTGTGCCTACGAGCAGTCAGTGTGGTGTGTGCCATTTCGGGAGCCCTGGTAACTCCTGTGGCATGGCTGGTACGGGGCCCGGCTGGTGAAGACCCTCTGCCTCAGTGGTTCTCTCTGTAACAACACATAAACTGGGCCATGTGGTGATGGGGCAGGTTAGATGTAACCCTGTTACTGAACTACTTTGCTGGTCTCTGGGTGGATTTCATTATTAATCTTTATTGAAGGTACCCATGAAAGGTGGCTTTGTTTTTTGTTTTCAGGCTGAAACTAGGAAAATGGTTCTCTAATTTTATGTGTTCCTAGGTTATTTTGGTTGCTTGGTTTGGGGTATCCATTTTGAGGGGCCAGGTATCACACTGTGAGAAAAAGACAAGGATCCCAGGAGGAGGCTCCTGGATGGCCATGCAGCGGGCGGCCACAGTTGCTAAAGACTCTCAGCTCTTGGGCTGGGGATGTAGCTCAGTGGTACTGTCCTGAGTTCGATCCCCAGTACCAAAAAAAGCAACAACAAATAAAGACTCTCAGCTCTTTATGGGACTGGCCTATGACACACAGAGGCTCGAGGTCAGTCACATCTGGGGTTTCATTGCATGCTGTTTTCTCTGCTCCTCACCCAGCGGTACTTCTCTCTGTTTTGTAGCTATTCATTGCTCCATGCTTCAAGAAAAACATTTAGCAATGTCAAGGTCAGCATCTCCAAGCAGTGGACCCCAAGTGCCTGGAACACGTCTGCAGAACTGCCAGTGGAGGTGAGCAGGGCGGGACACCAGGTTGGGAGAAGAGCCCTTCCCACCCGGAACACTTGCTGAAGTCTTCTTTGAATCATTCGCCTGCTTAGGACTCTAGAATGTTCTATTGATTTCAAAGCCTGTGCATTTCGGCTCTAGCCAAACAGCTTACTTGTCACTGTTTTGAAACCGCACAGTTCTGGCTAGGCTGTTTTAATTGAGTTTCACACAAAACTTGTATATTTCTGCCTTTGAGATTTCTGCTTTATTATTATGATTTTTATCATATTGGAGATTGAACCCAGGGCCTTTGCACTGAGCTACATCCCTAGCTCTTTTAAAATTAAATTAATTAATTAATTAATTAGTTGAGACAGGGTCTTACTTTGTAGTTCAGTCTGGTCTTGAACTCACTATGTAGCCCAGACTGTCCTTGAACTCATGGCGATCCTCCTGCCTCAGCCTCCTGAGTGCTGGATTACAGGTGTGGCTACCATGCCCAGCTAAGTTTTTATTTATTTTTATTTTTATTTTTTTTGGTACCGGGGATCAAACTCGGTACCTTGTGCTTGCAAGGCAGGCAGCAGAATCACTGAGCTAAATCCCAGCCCTAAGTTTTTATTTTGAGACAGGGTGTTGCTAAGTCTCTAGATTGCCTAGGCTGAGCTCAAATTTGCAGTCCTCTTGCTTCAGCCTCCCAGAGTTCTGAGATTATAGGCCTGTGACACCATGCCCACTTGTTTGTCTTTTTTCTTATTTTTTTGGTACCGGGGATCGAACTTGGGTCCTTGCACTTGTGAGGCAGGTGGCAGAAGCACTGAGCTAAATCCCCGGCCCAAACTTTTCTTTTTTTTGGTACCCGGGATCGAACTTGAGACCTTGCGCTTTCGAGGCAGGCGCTGGAACCACTGAGCTAAATCCCCGGCCCTTGTTTGTCTTTTAAGAACTCTTCCATCTTTTTTTTTTTGGAATCGGGGATCAAACTCGGGACCTTGTGCTTGATTGGGAGACAGGCACTGGAACCACTGAGCTAAATCCCCGGCCTAAGAACTCTTTCATCTTTTACTGCTTATCTAAATATTGCCTTTATGGATGAAATAACATACCATTTTTTCTATCAAACTTTTTTCCCAGCTTCTGATTTTTCCCTTCTCTAAACTCTTGTACAGTGTGTATTGTATGGTCTAGAATTTCAGTATTTAAATATTTATCTAATCACTTTGTTTGTATCTTGAAGTCAAGAAATATGTGTCCTGGTTCCTTATATTCATTATTGACCACGTAAAGTCTTGATGCAGTTTGGGATAAGGATATTGTCCCTACAGTGCCTTTTCTCAATACACAGATTCATTCCATTCAATCTTTACAACATTTTTTATTTTTGTATCAGGGATCGAACTCAGGACCTCGTGCTTGTGAGGCAGGCACCGGAACCACTGAGCTAAATCCCTGGCCCTTTACCATATTTCTTGAGTTATACTTTTTTATGGAAGTGTAGACATCCTATTATTATTATTGAGATGTTTGGCACCTGGACCCACACCTTGCTGCCTTGGCGGTGGCGAGAAGAAAGGGCAGCACCAGGCCAGGGCCTCAGGACCACATAGACAGTGGTGCTACCCTGACCCACAGGTTGGAGATTACTTCATAGACCACAACACCAGAACCTCGCAGATTGAGGATCCAAGGGTGTAGTGCTGGCAGGAGCCGGAGTACACGCTCAAGCTCAACCTGGTGGTGGCCTAAGAGGCTCTGAGCATCCAGAAGGAGGTCTACAAGATGAACCAATAGTGCCTGGAGTTCGTGCAGCAGGAGTACTAACAGCTACATGCCATGTGGAAGTACAGGCTGGGCTCCCAGGTCAGCTTGGTCTCCTGCTCGTCCTCCAGCTCTAAGTATGACCCTGACGTTCTAAAAGCTGAAATTGAACTGCAAAATCCTGAGTCGATAAGCAAAGAGTGAGTCTAAAGATGGCAGCCTCCGTATCGAGGGGTGCCCTGGCACTGCGTATGAATTTTACTCGGCAGGTTCCTTTTGTCTGGAAAATTCCCTGGACTGCAACAGCCAATGAGCTGAGAAAACACTTTGCTCAATTTGGCCATATATGAAAGTGCATTCTTCCTTTTGATAAAGAGACTGACTTTCATAAAGGTATGTGTTGGATTTACTTTTCTTCAGAAGAAGCACTTCAGAATGCAGTGCAACATGAAAATCATATAATTGATGGAATAAAGGTCCACATTCAAGTTCAAAAACCAAAAATTTTGCAAGGGGATCAAACATCTGATGAAGAGAAAGATTTCTGAGATGATTAAATCCATTAAATAAACGTAAAACAGGAAAAAAAAAAAAAAAAAGCTGAAGAGGGAGATGGTTCACTTGCAGCATGAGGTCCAGTTGAAAGAATGTGGCTTTCAGACCCTGAAGAAAATCAATAAGAAAATGTCTGATGCCCAGGGTAGCTACAAACTAGATAAAGCTCAGGCTGTCTTGAGAGAAACAGAAGCCATCAAGAAGGCCATCACTTGTGGAGAAAAAGAAAGGGCCAGGGATTTAGCTCAGTGGTTCTGCTGCCTGCCTTGCAAGCGCAAAGTCCTGAGTTTGATCCCCAGTACTAAAAGAAAAGAAAAACAGGATCTTATTAAGAGCCTTCCCTTGCTGAAGGATGGCCTCCACACCAACAGAGGGCCTCACTCTAGCCTGTAGTCCACAGCAGCTCTCCGGAGAGCTCAGGCTTCCCGCTGCCGAAGCAGTACCTGGATGTGAGCTCCCAGACAGATACCTTGGGAACTTTTGGTACCAGCAGCAACAATCGTTGACAGAGAAGATCAGATTGCACCTTCGATGCAGAGAAGCTAAAAGAAGTTTGCCAACCTGAAGATCCAGCTGACTAAGCTGGACAGTGAGGCCTGGCCTGGGGTGCTAGACTCAGGGAGGAACTGCTTGATCCTCATTAAAGAGAAGGAGGTGCAGCTGAAGGAGATGTGCTTCATCAGCCCCCAAAAGTGGATACAGGGAGGTAGAGCAGATGGAGATGGCCCAGAAGCGGCTGGAGAAAAACCTTCAGGCAGCTCAGGACACCCAGAGCCAGGTGCTGACAGAGGTTAAAGTTTTTTGTTTTGTTTTTTCGATACCGGGGATCAAACTCTGGACTTTGTGCTCACCGGGCAGGCAATGGTACCACTGAGCTAAATCCCCGGCCCTTGGTTAAAGTTAAACAGTAAGATGGGCCTGGAATGTAGCTCAGTGGCACAGCGCCTGCCTGGTAAGCGTGGGGCCTTAATTCAATTCCTGATACCAAAACAAATTTTTTTAAGTTAAACACAGGAGGCACCGTGGCAGGTAGTACCACCTGTGCACTCCCAGCTAAAAAGCCTCTCCAGGAGTACGTAGTCGCTGTCCTCAGAGAGCAGCCTGGGATCCCTCGCCTCCAGCCAGTATTCTTCCATCTCAGCCAGCTTCACAGACCTCTACTATGACCCCTTCGAGCAGCTGGACTCAGAGCTGGAGAGCTGGGTAGAGCTCCTGTTCCTGGAGGGAGCCATGGGCTTCCAGCCCTCTGGCTGCATCACCACCATCCATGAGGAGGAGGTGGCCAAGACCCAGAAGGTGGAGACTGGCAGCTGCCTGTAGGCCCTGTGCTCCCTGTCTAGTACCCAAAGTCCATGACCTCCCTGTCCCCATGCTCCTCTCTGTCCTCCCATCCCCCCATGTTCCCCTCTCATCACTGACCCCCCTCCTGGCTGGAGATGCCTTCCTGAACCCCCTGGAGTTTGAAGACCCATAGCTGAGTGCCACTCTTTGTGAGCTGAGCCTATGACGGTATCCAGGACAGAGGAACTGGCTGGAGGGACCAGGGACAGAGGGCAAGCCGTTGGACCAAGCTGTGATTATGGTCAGGGATGCGGCCTGAAAGTGGCCTGTGTCTCAGCTGCAGTGTCCGATGAGTCTGTGGCTGGGGACAGTGATGTGCTGAAGCTGGGTGCTCCAGAAGCAGCTGCATTTGACAGTTACAAATCAGAAGTTGTGGGTGCCACTTGGGTTCAAGATACTCTGAAGTATGATGAGAAAAATAAGCAGCTTGCAAAATTAATTATTCAGCTGAGAAACCTTTCTGCTCTTTTACTGCCACAAGACCAGAAAGTGAATGTCCGTGTGGTTGTCCTTCCCTGATCTGAGAGCACACCTGACTGTTTTGGACCCGGGCCCTGGAAGCTCTGACAGCCTCCTATTCAGTGAGGCATTCTGGGTGCCCCTGTCCTGTCCAGCCCTTCACCAGAAGACCTTACAAGTTGATGTCTGCACCACTGACCAGAGCCATGTGGAGGAGTGCCTGGGAGGCGCCCATATCAGCCTGGCTGAGGTCTGTCGGTCTGAGGCAAGGTCGACTCACTGGTACAATCTCCTGAGCCACAAATACTTGAAGAAACAGAGCAGGGAGCCCAAGCCGGTGGAAGCCACGGGGCCCACTCCAGGGCCTGAGAGTACAGATGCTGTGTCTGCCCTGTTGGTACAGACAGTGGTGGAGCTGGAAAAGAGGCAGGAGGGAAGAAGAACTAAACTCCATTTAGTTTTTTTTTTTTGGTACCAGAGATCAAACTCAGGACCTTGCACTTACGAGGCAGGCATCGGAACCACTGAGCTAAATCCCCGGCCCTCCATTCAGTTTTATCTCCATCAATAAAGTGGCCTTTTGAAAAGAAAAAAAAAATACTGGGATGTTTTATTTCTCAAAAATTATTTCTCAAAAATTATTTGGGCTCATTTGAAGTTGACAGAGGCCTGAAGGTTGTATGACTATCCCCCAAGAGTAAATAAGTTAGTAGTTACTGGGCGACTGACTGTCTTGCATGCACACTTTCTTAAGCACTGAAGATGTGAAAAACTCAAAAGCCTAGAATGAAAAAACAGAGCCTGTCCTCATGGAGCTTCCTTCCTGGAAGAGGTGTTTCTGTACCGTTTTCCTAGAATTTAAACTAGATATGGAGAATAAGGGCCAGGTTGTACCCGGAGCCTGAATGACCATTAGCCGACTTGTCAGATGTGTTCATTGAGTCCCAAACCCTAAAGATGAAAGTGGCCCTGGAGAGGTCATGTAGCCTAAGCTTATCACCAGTATTTTGTCACTGTTAGAGATAACCACCCAGCGCCTGCTTCAGTGCTGCTAGGGAGAGGACATGTGTGAGCTGTGTGAAGGAAGCTCACCCCTCTCTGGGCTCCTCTGGCTCCTTCTGCTGTAGCTTCATGGTGCGAGCACTAAGTGTGGCATTCAGGTGCAGCCTGACCAATGCACAGAAAAGCTGGCTTTCAAAGAGAGGGAAAATAGAAGGAAAAAATGGAAACAAAGGTTTTGTACATAGGGAGAGGAGGGGGCTTAAGGGGGGGAATGGGATAAAATAAAGTAAAATTTATTACAAAAAAAAAGAAAAAGAGAAGCTGGCTTTCATTTAGGCCCCGAGTTGCTGGCCCAGTTCCTAAGGTGGCCTTGTTTCTTAGGTACCTGGGGTGGGGTGAGGACCACCCTCAGGGTTGGTGGCTTAGGAGGAAGAGCCACAGGGTCAGTATGTAGCTCACCACTGTGATTTATTACAGCAAAAGGACACAAAGACAAGCAGCAAATGGTGTGAAGCCGCAGGAAACCAGGTCTGAACTTCCACAGGCCTCTCCCAGGATGTCTTTAGTTTATCCAGTGCAAGCTGTGACAACACCCGGGAAGTGTTGGTCCCCGGGAGGCTCATTAGGGATTGTCCTGGGGCTGGTGGGATAGGTCCGTGTGCTTGTCTGTGCCAGGCGTCCAGGGTCTCACACTGTTGGGTAGGAGGATGAGCCGCTGGGACCAGGGAATGGTGGGAACCCTCCTTGGAGCCAGGGGCCCTGGGAGCAGGACTGTGCACGGGGGGCCGGCTCCAGCCGCCATGAGGCTCTTCTGCAGGAACCGTTCACATTGCTGGCCTTTGGGGCCTGACACTGATTTTTCTGCTTAAGACTTCGTTTATTTGCTTGCTCTAATTGCTGTTAAAAGAGGTTTACTGTTCTCTCTTTTCAGGACTTCAGGTTAAGTAGTTTGGGTTGTGTAAAGTCAAGTCCTGAGCTACCCTGAGGAGCTTTGTGTTTCTTTTTCTTTTTCTAAGTACTGAGGATTAAGACCTGGGTCTGCACCGAGCTACCTCCCTTTTCTTTCTTTCTTTTTTTTTCTTTCTGTACCAGGAATCAAACTATGGGCCTCCCACTTGCCAGGCAGGCGCTGTGCCACTGAGCTACATCCCTGGCCCAGCCTCCCTTTTCTTTTGAGACAGGGTCTCACTAAGTCACTCATTTGCCCAGGCTGGTCTCAAACCTTACGGTCTTCCTGCCTCAGCCTCCCAGAGTGCTGCGGTCACAGGTGGGCGCCACCATGGCTGGCTGAGTTTGATGTTTCTTTGCATAACCACCCTTGTGGAGGGCTGGGCTCACTTCATCCTTTTCTTTATACTTTACACCCCAACTCTCCCTTCCTGAGGACTGTCACTGGAAGTGGACTAGTTAGGGAGGTGTGTGCCTCCCGCCCAGCCTGGGCTTAGAATATATATATAACTGTCCCTGGTGAGCTTGCTTTTGAGGCCGATCTCATCCAAAAGTAGAAAGGGCTTTTAGAACCAGAAGTACAAATAAGGCCAATCTAAACTCTTAACAAAGACTTTTTATATGTGTGGTTCAGCATTTCTCAACAAGGACTCATTGTAGCTTTCACATCCATGCCTAACTATTAGGTGTGTTTTGGAGTTTTTGAAACAGTCTTTTTATGTAGCCCAGGCTGGCCTTGAACTCATGGAGATCCTCCTGCCTCGGCTTCCTGAATGCTGGGATTACAGACATGTGCCACACTCGGGGTGTATTGGGTGTTTTAAGTAGACACAGTCTCTATACCTTGAGAATTAATACTGGGGCTCACTGACATGGGCAAACACTGAAAATAGTAAATGAACATCACAAAATATATGTTCACAGGTAATAATAAAGAGGCAATGGTTAGGTCTAATCTTTGAGAACTTGCCTTAAAATTATAATAAAAATTTATCTAGTTTTTCCATGAGAATAGTGCAGGAGAATGTGGATTTACCTCCAGGAGAAGAAGCAGGATTCCAGGGCTCTAGCAGTTGTCTCAAACTTGTGACGGCTACCCTGCCTGCGCAAATGGTGCAGAAACCTGTAGCACCCCCAAGGCCCCAAAGAGTTGCAGGGCCATATGGTGCCGTCCTCACCCCCATGAGCTCTCGGGAAGCTCTCCGGAGTTAGCACCCCACCCCACGCAGATCCCTCTTCTGTGTTCTCTTGGGGTGGGTCAGGACTCACCTAAGTGACCCTCTCTGGACTCGGGTGCTTCCTATGCATGTACTAAAGGTCTCTGGGTGACATGGGGGTGCTTTGTTCAGTAGGAAACCACCAAGAGAACCCTCTACCCCATGCCGGCTGACCGTTCACACCGGGACAATTCATGGCCCGGACCGGGCAGACATGCAGTTAGCAGGTTGAGTGCAGTGTGCTCAGTTGTGTAATTGACTTTCATTGGATGATTCATTGTGTGTACTAGAACTTTTCTTCTTTTGTGCTTTGATTTTTGAGACAGAGTCTCACTATCAAGTCCAGGCTGGCCTTGAACTCACTGTGTACCCCAGGCTGGCCTTGAATTTGCAGGGATCCTTCTGCCTCAGCCTCCTCAGTGCTGGGATTATAGGCATGCGCCACCATACACATAGGGTTGTGTACTAGATATTTTTTTTTTTGGTACCGGGGATCAAACTCGGGACCTTGTGCTTGCGAGGCAGGTGGGTGTACTAGAATTTTTCTAAGCTGCTGGTACAGTCATCCTGACTGGGGCTATGTTATTAAAGTATACTTTCTTCTTTTCCATTATCCTATTTTCTGAATCTTTGTTAGTCCTACTTGATTGTTTTAGTTCTTTGGTTTGGTTTAGTAGACAGTGTATTTCAGCAGAATCCTGGCAGTGAAGCAGAAGAGAGCTGTTTAAAATCTGTCCATTAATGGGCTGGGGATTTAGCTCAGTGGTTTTGCTGCCTGCTGCGCAAGCACAAGGACCCGAGTCCAATCCCTGGTACCAAAAAAAAAAATCTGTCCATTAATGTGTGGGCGTGGTGGCAGATGTCTGTAATGCCAGCATTTGGGAGGCTATGGCAGGAGGATCGCCATGAGTTCAATGCCAGCCTGGGCTACATAGTGAGACCCTGTCTCAAAAAAGCCAAAAAAAAAAAAGGCCAAGGATTTAGCTCAGTGGTTTTGCTGCCTGCCTCGCAAGCTCAAGGTCCCGAGTTCTATCCCCAGTACCAAAAAAAAAAAAAAAAAACCCCCAAAAGGGCTAGGGATGTAGTAGATCATTGTGAATGCCCTGGGTTCAATCTCCTGTACTAGGGGGAAAAAGTAGTACTATGAAATACGTCTACTTCTGGATTGAGAGAGACATGATTTCTAATTTATGAATCTTTAAAATGTCCTGAATGCAGAGATTATAATCAGAATTTATTTCTTTGAAATGTGTGCTTTTGTACTTACTGCCTAGTTTTCTCATTTAGTTAACCTAGTCATTAGCATTTAAGTGTTTTGATTGATTGTTTTGTTTTGGCCGTGCTGGGAACGGAGTGTTTTGCTTGAGAAAAAATGCCTGTGCTACAGTAAAAGCCAGTCCTTACCAGTGCTGCGTGCTGGGCTTTGGGCTGTGGACTCTGCTGCCCTTGTGCCTTCACTCTTTCCCTGGGAGTGTGAGGTGACCTGCTCTTGTCCTGTTCCTGCAGATCTGGAGCAGCAACTGGTTGTTTCCCAGTACAGAGGAAGCCACACTTTTTCTTGGAACATTGGATACCATTTTTCTCTTCTCCTATGCTGTGGTAAGTTTGAGGATTCTAGAAGTTCACTTTTTTTTTTTGGGTACTGGGGATCAAACTTGGGTCTTTGCGCTTGCGGGGCAGGCGGTAGAACCACTGAGCTAAATCCCTGGCCCTAGAAGTTCATTTTTATTGCTACAAGTTTGCAGCACATAATGATTATATTTATCATGGGGAGCTGGTACCTGCACATAACCTGTCTGGATTCATTTTTACAGCCTTTTCCCCTCTTCCTCCCTCCCTCTTGCCCTCCATTGAGTTTTGCTTTGGTTTGGGTTTTAGTGGTGCCAGGGATGGAACGCAGGCCTCATGCTAGGCAAGTGCTCTACCACTGAGCTGCCCTCCCCATTAGTATTTTGTTTTGTTTTGCTTTGGTTTTTAGGGTTTTTTTGAGACAAGGTCTCACTGTGTAGTCCAGGCTGGCCTTGAACTCACTGTGTAGCTCAGGCGGGCCTCAAACTCATCCTCTTGCCTTAGCCTCCTAAGTGCTGGGATTTCAGGTGTGCATCACCACAGCCAGCTGGTCAGTTCTTTCCGTTCAGGTACATTTCCTTCTGTAACTTCCAGGCAGTTTGCTTCCTGGAGCAGTGGAGAATAACCTGATTCCCTTATCTGAAGGAATGGTGAGATTTTCTCTTTCCCATTAATTACATGTAGCAGTGGGCTGCTTGAGCAGCATCTGTAGAGGACTGAATCTACTTAAATGCCTGTGCCCACTGCTGAGAAAGTGAGGAGGAGGAGGAAGCATCTGATGAGGATGATCTCATCTTATTGTTCTCCATTACTGAGATAGTTTATCAGAAGTCTTTGGTCCTCCCAGCACTCGAGAGGCTGAGGCAAGAGGATTGCTGTGAGCTTGAAGTCAGCTTGGGCTACATAATGAGTTCAAGACCAGCCCGAGCAATGTAGGAAACCTCTGTCTCACAACAAACAAAAATTCTCTGACCAGAAGCACTTGGTCCTATCTGTATTTAGGTTTGAGTGAGGATGTTTATTTATGTATTTGCATGTTTGCTTGTTTGTCTGCCTGCTTGTCTGTCTTTTGTTTTGAGGTAAGGACATGTATTTGTTTGGTAGCTTAATAGGAGAAACCTACCGTGTGTTGCCCTTGAGGTCTGCTGTTTTGTTGGCCCCTGGGCTGCACGCGGTGGGAGATGAACAGAAGCACAGACTTTGAGTGCCTTTCTTCTCTGGTTGGTACTTCTGTCTCTGCGAGCTCCCTGCCTTGTGGTATCCTGAGACCCGAGAGTCACATCACATGGCCTGTGTGTGTGTTCCTGGCAGGTGTCTGTCCCGCTTGTCACAGCTGAAAGCACAGGCTGTGTAGGACACATCTCGACTCAATGCAGATAGATCCCTTGGGAAGCGTGGGGCTGGTGTTGAAGAATTAATCTCCTCTCCAAGATGAGTATGTTTGGCTGCTTCTTTTTTGGACCAGGGATGGAACTCAGGACCTTGTGCTTGCCAGGCAGGCACAGTGCCACTGAGCTACATCTCTGGCCCTTGGGTACTTATTTCTATCGGAATGGTTCTTACTCATTTTCAGTTAGGGAGCTGATTAAAATCAGAGTTTGCCAGCATCACATGTAGTGACCGGAATCTGCACAGTTTCTGGACCCTGCGGGGCTGATTCAAGGAGGCCCCTGCAATCTCTTTATGTTATTTGCTTTGCAATGCATGTCACCTCTTTGGCCTGAGGTACCATTCATTTATTCATTTGGGGGGTGTTATTGTTTGTTTTGAGACAGGGTCTCATTGTGTAGTTCAGGCTGGCCTAAAACTCACTTTGTAACCAACCCAGGCTGGGCTCGAACTCATGGTGATCCTCCTGCCTCAGCCTCCTAGAGTGCTGGGATTATAGGTGTGCACCACCATGCCTGGCTGCCTGCAGTATGATTTAGAGCTATAAAGTGGAATGATTTCTTTTCAGGGCCTTTTCATCAGTGGAGTCGTTGGGGACCGGCTGAATTTGCGATGGGTGCTGTCTTTTGGCATGTGCTCGTCGGCATTAGTGGTGAGTTGGCAAGATCTTATAATTGTGATTTTAGGGACCAGGTACCCCCAATTTATCTGTGGAGCAGCACAGTGAGACCTGCCCCCTGTGTGCTGACCCTTTGTGACTTTCCCAGAGGGGTCTTTTTACAGTGAGGCTGTGTGGTGCTCACTGCTGCCTCTCACTGGGCCAGCCTGCCTGTTTCCTGGATCTGTCCTCTGCATCAACCCTCTGCTATCAAAGGATGGAGCCTCTTGCTGAGCCCCTGGAGCCCCTGACCCACCCTGCTCCTTCCTTCTTCCGGGCTGTGTTCCTGCTGCTCTTCCTTTTGTGGCCCAGTTTTCACCTCTCCATGCCCTGACTCCACCTCTCCCTCCGGTCATTGTCCCCTGCTGCCACATTCAGCTGCCAACCTGGGAGGGTCCTCTGTTCCCTGACCTGAACTCCCTGTAGTAGCCGCCTGCTGTGGGGCCTGGCCATTTCCAGTTCTGCCATGCTTTCCCTGAGAGTGGGCTGCACAGTGGTGGAGACCACAGAGTCCCTGGGGCAGGCAGCTGAGTCTCTGCCCCTCTGCCGCTTCCTGCCTGCTGATTTCCTATGCCTGGCTTCCTTGTGTGTCCCCCTCCTTCTGGGTGGCAGCATCTGTGTGAGGCTTGTGATAGGGCCTGACACAGTAGGTGCTGTGAGCGGCACCACGCATCCTTATCACCTTTTTTTTTTTTTTTATGGTACCGGGGATTGAACTCAGGACCGTGTTCTTGTGAGATGGGTGTGGCACTGCTGAGCTAAATCCCTGGCCCTTATGCCTTATTGATGGATGAGACCGTAGAGTTTAATTAGATCCTGATTTATTTTTGTTCTCAATATCTACCATTCGAGTCTGGGAAAAAAAATTTTTTTTGAAACTTTAAGGATTGGAGCACTTTGGTTATTTGTAAGCTGCTCACGTATACATATTTACACACTTTTTTTTTTTTCAAGACTTTCCTACACCTGTTTTATATGAAACACAAATAAGTATTTTTAATTTTTTAATTTTTCTCCAGTCCTTGCGCTTGTGCAGCAGGTGGCGAAACCACTGAGCTAAATCCCTGGCCCAATAAGTATTTTTAATGGCAAATGATTCACACACTTTTTAAAAAACCTATATACATACATTGTTGGCTTTTTTTAATATTAAAAAATACAGGTGTGTACATAAACTCTCCATTTGAGTATCAATTTCCTAGTTTCCACAGCCAAGTATGGTGTGTCACAACCCCTCCTGTCCCCTAGCTTGTGTCCTTAGGGCCTTGCTTGCTCCAGATGCCTGAGAACTGGAATCTGACAGAGTTGTGCATACCGCTCAGTAACCCGTGCTAGGCAGTCCCAAAATTGACTGCCCGGAGAAAGGCAGTCCCTGATGGAAACCACTAAAGCATTCAGTAGATGAGAAACTGGACAGGTTCTCCTTCACTGATAGATCCAGAAGCTGCTTCCCAATAGGAGCCTCGCCCGTGACTTCTTAGCTTGTGTCTGGTGCTGTCCTAAGTGGACTCACATCCTATGCCCTTTGGAGGTCACTGTCCCCTCTGCCACATGGGCCTGAGGGAGCAGCATGGGGTGGAAACATAGGGACCTGAGGTTGTTAGCTGTAGTGAAATGTGACAGGGTGGTCGCCTCCTCAGTGCTGCTTCTGAGCCCAGGCAGTGGAAGAAGGGTCACCCACTCTGAGGTGCTAGGTGACAGAATGTACCTGGAAAGTGTCCGTGGGTATGTCTCATGTCCCCTTTCTTTCCTCTCTGAAAGGTGTTCATCTTCGGCACACTCACAGAATGGGTGCACTTCTACAACAAGTGGTTCTACTGCATCCTGTGGATCGTGAACGGCCTGCTGCAGTCCACGGGCTGGCCCTGCGTGGTGGCCGTGATGGGCAACTGGTTTGGCAAAGCTGGGTACGCTGCTGCTGCTTCCTCCTCCCTTGTTTGGTGACAGGGACTTCAGTGTTGACTTGCTCAGTCTTGTTGGAGCCAATGGATGCTGCCCCCATCCTCCTTGTGTCTAGAAAATCTTAAGTAGTCAGGGAAGGAGGGCCACGCAGAGTGGGTTGGGAATGGTGTGGACCTCACCACTGCTCACGCTCAGTAAGACACAGCCCTCGAGGCGGGCCTCCTCAAGATGTGAGTCTGACCTCCTCAAGATGTGAGTCTGACCTAAGGCAGTAGGGACAGATGTCTGCTTGCTTTTCTTTCTGTGGTACTGGGATTGAACCCATGATCTTTGCACTGAGCTATATCCCCATCCATCCCTTTTTTTTTTTTTTTGGTACCTGGGATTGAATTCAGGACCTTGTGCTTGCAAGGTAGGCACCAGAACCACTAAGCTAAATCCCTGGTCCCCCATCCATCCCTTTTAAGTGTTTCTTCGTTTATTTTGACTCAGGGCATCACTAAGTTGCCCAGACTGGGTTTAAATTTTTGATCTTCCCGCCTCAGCCCTCCCAGAGTGCTGGGATTACGGGCCTGTTTCAACATGCCTGGCTTTCTATTTTTTTTTTTTATAAGTGTGTTATCACTTATTTACCTTTGAGTTTTGCCTTTTCTGTCCTTTTTTGATGCTCCAATTTAATTTAACCCCTGGAAGATTGTAGTCCAAAAAATTACAGTGGAGCTCACATGTATCTGGGAAATGCATTTGTTACTAGTCTGTGTTGAAAAGTTAAAAAAATTAAAACACTGCAAATTTGCATTTATTTGTATAATAAAATACATGACTTTAAAATTTCTTTTTAGTTACAATCTAGAAATTATTAAGCAAAGAAATGTAACAGTAATCACCAGAGTTTGTGGTATCTCTCATAGAGAATAAATTATTGAATATCATACCCTTTTTTGTTTGTTTGTTTTTGTTTTTTGAGACAAGAGCTCACTATTTAGTCCGGGCTGGCCTCAAACTCGTAGTGATCCTCCTGCCTCAGCCTTCCAAGTGCTGAGATTACAGGGGTGCACCACCACACCTGGCCAGACCACATTTTGTAACCACACACAACTTAAATGTTATGGTTTAACATGAGTTATCGCTTCTTGGCCTTTTGGCTAAGATCAAGTGTGGTTTAACATGAGTCATATGCAGACATGTAGCTACTCATGACCTTGAGCCTGTGTACCTAATATATGTAACAGTATGTAAGAAAAGAGTTTTTAGGGCCGGGGATTTAGCTCAGTGGTTCCATCACCTGCCTGGAAAGCACATGGTCCCGAGTTCGATCCCCAGTACCAAAAAAAAAAGAAAGAAAGAAAAGAGTTTGTTCTATCTCTCAGTTCAGCCACGACCTGCCACGGGTCAAGCTCACATTAAAGAGAATGAAACTGAGGCCAGAAGTTTCCCCGTGATTTATCTGCAGTCTTAGCAGCTCTGACAAGATTCCCCTGAATGCCACCCTTAGTGGTTAGAGTGGATGTTTCCCCCAGGCCTCACTTAGCTTGGCTTTGGACTGTTGACTTTGAGTGTGTGGTGTGGGCCACGGGACAAAGACAGGCCTGCTGATAGCATAGCCTCCTGGCCTCCTGGGAAGAAGAGCCAGGCAGAATTTGCAGCTTGGAACATAACTTGAGCTAACCAAAGACTTGCTTCCTTGGCATTGTTGGTGTTACTCCCATTTCAGAGACACTGTTCATTTGTTTTCATGAGCCAGGTATGGTGCCGCACGCCATCACTTGGGAGGCTGAAGCAGGATGGCCCTGAGTTCGAGGCCAGCCTGAACTACATAGCGAGACCCTGCCTCAAAAACAAAACAAAAGGAAAAAAATAGGATTTATACCTTTTTTCCTAGATGAATATTTACATGTTACCAGATGTATATTTATCTCCTGTGCGGCTGTGTCATTTTGCGTGTTTGTTCTGCTGTGGGAATTGGGGTGACAGACGCTGTCCACCCACCTGGTGCTCAGTGTGCATCTGCTGCTCCTCAGCTTTGCAGCTCCCCATTTCGTGGTGAGAGGTACCCAACTTGGGCAGGATGAAGCATCACCCGAGAGTGCTCTGGTTAGGTCTCAGTGTGCAGGTGACTAGAAAAGGTGCTGTTCTGTGATATTTGTGTTTTACTTTGGAGTAGATGAGACAGCCTGCTTGTGGGCTAATTTGTTTAATGAAGATTTTTAAGATAATTTTTTCACTTATGACTTAACTTACTAGTTCTAACAAGGGTCATTTTGAGGGAATTGGAGGCTGTTCTAAATCAGCTGACATGGAGTCTTCAGATCAGTGGCTCAATGGTCTGACCACTTCATTATTTTTATGGCCAAGTCTTAAAGCAAAAAGAAGCCAAGAAAGCCATCACAGGGCCCCAGGAAAGGAAGTCAGCTCATTTGTCACAAGCAAATATATCGGTCACAGCTTCCCATGAACTGCAGCAGTGACCTGCAGGTCCACTGATGAGGAGTTGGCACTGCCTCAGTTACTGGAAGCTGCACTCTTCGAGCGTCACATTGCTATTCAGGCCCTGCCCTCTGACTTGGCCTCTGGCCCCCTTGCCAGGCTTAAATGTTTTCACAGTACGGGTCTGATTTAGAACTGGAGATGAGCAGAGACCATGAAGGTTAACTCATTTGTTTTCCAGATTAAAAAAAAAAAGTTGAAGCCCCAGAGAAATGATCAGAAATGAGAGACCTTGCCCCTCCATGGCTGTTGCTTAGGCTGAATTGTGTCACTGCTCTTGGTCACTGGGGATGTGCTTTTAAAAACAAATGTAGATGAGGCAGTCCTCATGCCTGTGTCTTCATGGCATCGGGCCCTTTGCCCGGATTGCGTGGAGTTGCACCAGGCCTTTCAGGAGTGTACCTGTGACAGGAGAGACTGAGTGTCGGTGGCAGAGGTCACACTTTATCGACTTTCTCACTCTGTGGTGACATCTCCCTATTCATGACTTAACATTCTGTCTGCTTCACTGAGGTTAGAAAAATGTGTAGAGAGCTAAAACATGTTCATCTAACACAGTGTCAGTTGGGGTGAATGAAGTACAGATTTGAACTTCAAAAAAATTAAAAGCTGGGACACACCTATAATGCCAGCATCTGAGAGTCTGAGGCAGAAGTGCCATGAGTTGAAGGGCAGCCTGAACAACATTGTGAAACAGTCTCAAAAAACCCAAAACAAAACAAATGGAATGTTCTTGAATCTTTATTCACACCCACTGCACTGCCGTTGCCTGTGTTCAGGGCCAGTCGTTTCTCTCCAGGGGTACGGGAACAGCTAGTGTTCCTTCCACTGGGCTCTTCCTCTCCCCATGCCTTCTGTTTTCTCTCGTGGCCTTACAGAGGTGCAAAGGAAGCTGCATGTGTGTGGGATTTGGCATGTGGACACCCGCAAAGCCATCGTCACAGCTAAGAAACACCCTTTGGTCATTCCTCCTGCCTGGCACTCACACTCGCCTGCCTTCTGTCACTTTAATTTGAAGTTCTGAGATTTGATAGAAATGGAGTCATGGAGGCTCCCTGAAGTCCCTCAGCAGTGTGCGCTTCTGGTGATGAACGTGTGGGTGGGTTTCAGTTTGGAGCTCAATGAAGTGGAGTAGCTGACAGCGCTTGTCTGAACGTCCTGTGTGGACACGTGTGCCTGTGTCTCTGGGGTAAATACTGTACCCGAAGGTGGAGTGACCAGGCCGTGGGCAGTGTGTTATCTTTCTGAGTGCTCTCATCTGTGTCCCCACTGCAGAGTGTAGATGGAATCACTCCACATCCTTGTTATGTAAGACCGCTGTCCTTACCAAAGGCTCCGAGGAGCTGACTATAGTGAAGCACACCCAGGGATCCCAGCGAGGAGCTGACTATAGTGAAGCACACCCAGGGATCCCAGCGGTGCCTCCAGAATGTAAGGCCAAGGGCCTTACCAGATGCTCCAAGGAGCTGACTGTAGTGGAGCACACCCAGGGATCCCAGCGGTGCCTCCAGAATGTAAGGCCAAGGGCCTTACCAAATGCTCCAAGGAGCTGAAGTGGACCACCCCTGGGGATCCCAGCGGTGCCTCCAGAATGTAAGACCAAAGGCCTTACCAAATGCTCCAAGGAGCTGACTGCAGCAAAGAACACCCTGGAAGGAACACAGGGACAAGTTGGAAAGTGAAACAGACCTTAGTCCGGCCAGACAGCACTCCCAAAGCAAAGTAGCTTAGAGAGGCGTAGACCAGAGTCTGAGGCTCTTTTTATAGGGGCTTGCAGGGGAGTTAACAGGCGAAATTTACAAAGGTTTAGTGGTCTTACATTTGTATGTTAATTAGCCTGACATGTACTGATAGTCAGCAGATGCTTTGTAGATTGTTCTATAGATAGTGGTGTCCGGAACAAAGAGTTGGATAATTATGACTGATATGGATCTTATCTAGTGTCCGGAACTAAGAAGCATCTTTATCTATTTACTCACATTCAATCACGGTTGGGGCTAGGGGAGTTTTATGATTACAGAGTTATGCAGTCCTATAGTTAGTGCCTGGTCTGATCAATCTTTGATTTTAGCCATTCTGGTGGGCGTGTGGTGACATCTCATTTTGATTTACTTGGCATTTATTTCCCTGATGTCTAATGATACTGAACATGTTTTCATGTGCTTATTTGCATCATGTAATTATTTTTATCATACATTTTCTTGGGAAGTATCTATAGTCTTTTGCCCCATTTTCAAAAATTTTATTGTGTGATGATTGTAGATTTGTGCCCTTTAATGTTCTATTAAGCTGGCCATGGTGGCGCACACCTGTAGTCCCAGCATTAGGAAGGCTGAGGCAAGAGGAATGCTGCAAATTCGAGGCCTACCTGAGCTGCATAGTGAGTTCAAGGCCAGCCTGAACTACATAGCAAGACCCTGTCTCAAAAAAACAAGCATATGTTCTGTTGCATTGTCTGTTTTCTTAATTGAGTTTTGAGAGTTCTTTATATTCTGGATACAAGTCTTTTATCTGATAAGTGATATGCAAATATTCTCCCAGTTTGTGGCTCTTCCCCCTACCCCTTAGGAATCCAATTTGACCTTGCACATGCCAGGCAAGCATTGTGCTGGTACAGCTGAGCTACATCCCCAGCTGAGTTCAAAGTGGCTTGTCTTTTTTTTTTCTTTTTTTGAGACAGATTATCGCTATGTAGACAGGCTGGCCTCAAACTCATGGTGATCCTCCCACCTCAGCCTCCCAAGTGCTGGGATTATAGGTGTGTGCTACCATGCCCAGCTCCCAAATTGAATTTTTTTTTTTTTTTGGTATGGGGATCGAACTCGGGTCCTTGCGCTTGTGAGGCAGGTGGTGGAACCACTGAGGTAAATCCCTGGCCCCCAAATTGAATTTTAACATCACAAATTCTTAAGAGTTACAAGAGAGCTTTATCATTTATCAATGTTTTATCATTTTGGTGTATTTGAAATTTTAAAAAGTAGAATATTTTTTCTCTGTCATGAGAATCTTCACCGTTCTGGCACTTTTTAAAGTTTGACCTGCACACAGAATCCCCTCTGATGTGATCGCTTCTGTCTGCCCACTTGCAGCCGGGGTGTGGTCTTCGGTCTCTGGAGTGCCTGTGCCTCCGTGGGCAACATCTTGGGAGCCTGCCTTGCCTCTTCTGTCCTGCAGTATGGCTACGAGGTGAGTGCTCTTTCTCAGCTTGTGTGTATTTATGTTATGTGCACAGTTTTTTCCAAAGTAATACTGCACTCTTAAAACTACAGAGTTGTGTTTGAGTAGGGGAAGGCTGTATTAAAAGTAGAAGAACTTCTGATAAGTTCAAACACATAAAAAAACTATTCATTACAAAAACACTAACAGGAGTTGAAATATACAGAACTAATTAAGAAAAAGTAGAGTAGCACCTTGGTTCAGGAACTTAGTTTGTTTCATGATTTTGGAAAAGACAGCTACATTTAGTGTTTGTGTAGGAAAGATGGCCACAGTTGTATTTGTTCACCCTATGTCACCATTTGTAGATTGCAAACAAAAACAAAATTCTGCCAGACACTTTTGTTTGTGAACCTAAAGTGTTCGAGAACCGAGGTACTACTGAATGTGCCACTCTCATGAACGGCAGTCTCCCTGATATATTAATAATGCCCACAGATTTATAAGGAAAAGACAACAACACAGAGAGTAAAGGATTTGAGTGTATAGTTCATGGAAAGCAAAAGGAAATGGCTAAAACGAGAAGACAGACACTCACCTTCACACATAACTTCTCCATTCATTTGGGAAAGCCTCTTTCTGTGGTCCTTGGCATTGCAGAATGTAGCATTGGCTAAAAGGGATGAACATCTGTCCCTAGGAATTAGAGGTTAGTAGGTGGAGAAGCATTAATTACAACTACACTGTAAGGAAACCCGCACATATCAGATTGGTAAAATCCAACAGGTTGCTGATCGCCTGTTGTACTCATGAGGTTGCACAGAACCAGCCATCGCTGTTGGAAAATATGTTCTGCCCCTGCATGGGTTAATCAGTGATTGTCCAAGTTCCAGCTACTCTGAGCATGCAGCTCCACTCCAGGAATTAACTGCACAGGTGAATGTACTTGCCACAGGTACAGAGAGATGTGTCTGCAAGCTTGTTTCAGCGTTGCTAGTAATAGCTGAAGACTGAAAACACAGTAACCAGCAGGGAAGAGCTGAACTCAGGTTCACCCATTTGAAAGGTGCTGTGCCTCTAAAGTAAAATTCAGAAGCTCCACCGAGCAAGATCAGTGCACTGGAACAATCTGACGGCAAGCCTGTATGTTGAACAACACTGTTAGCTTGAAAAGGAAGAATGACCGAGTATATGTGTATATTCACTGTAAGTTTCTGAAACGGTCTCTGCCCAGACATGTTGGTGCACATTTATAATCCAGCACTCTGAGGCTGAGGCAGGAGGATCGAAAATTTAAGTCCAGCCTGGGCAACTTAGCAAGATCCTGTCTCAAGATCCTGTAGCTCAGCACAAAGGCCCCTGGGCTTGATTCCAGTATTAGGAAAAACAATCTCTGAATGGTAAAAATTAAATGACAACAATGGGAAAATTGAGAGAATAAAAGGATCAAGAAGGGGTGTTTCTCCTTTGTATCTTTTTGTCAAATTGTGTAAATGTATCACTTAGAAGGCTCAATCATTAAAATGAAGGAAGTTGCACTTTTAAAACTAAAAACACTGGGGCACGGGCATTTAGCTCAGTGGTTTTGCTGCCTGCTGCATAAGTGTAAGGACCTGAGTTTGATCCCCGGTACCAAAAAAAAACAACCCTAAATACATTGGGTGGGGGGGTGGGGATTTAGCACACTGGTGCTGCTCCCTGGCTCACAAGTGCAGGGTCCTGAGTTCGATCATTGGTACCAAAAAAACCCAAAAACTAGATACATTATTACCAGGCTCACCAGGGATTTGGGCCTGTGTAGGAGCCTGTCCTTTATCATAGTCACCTGTATTCTGGGCTTCCTGGCTTCGCACCTGGGTTGTCCTGTTCAGCTCAAATAGGAATTTCACTCCATCCTCTGTGCTCCTGGCAGATTTGGCTCTTGGGAACCCTGCTTTCATTTTATCATTCACTTGTTTAAAAATTCAGACTGTCCATGTCAACTAAACCAGCTGTGCAGCCAGGTAGTTGACTCTTGAATCTTGGTGTCCCCTTTCCAAATCAGTGGGTCCCCTATCAGGTCCCAGCCAGCCCCTTGCCCTCGGTGCTGCAGGAAGCCCTCCCCTCGTTCCAGCCCAAGTTGTGCCTGTAAAGACAGCATTGCTTTGATTTTTGCTCTTCCCTGAAGCATCTTCCCTAGCTGCTTCAGCTTCCTTTTAGCAGTTTCCTCTCCCTGGATTCCTTTGTTTCTCACTGGACAGAGCCTTCTCATTTCTTGGGCTGTGCACTGCCTTATAATGCTGTTTGGGGTACTGGATATATCTCTTGTGTCTTGTGCTGGAGGCCGTGTGATGTAAAGAATGAGATTTGGAAAAAAAAAAAGAATGAGATTTGGGGGGATAACCCTGACTTTACAATCCTCATATCACTACGCAGTTTCCAAGGGCCTCCCTCCGTGATCCCCTGTGAGCCCTGCAGAGCTCTTGGGCAAATGACAGAGAAATCACAGGTGGAGCACTTGGCGGGTGGGTGTGGCCCAGTGCAGAGTGCTTACGAAGTGTCCCTGGCCTTTGGTTCATTCCCAGGGACTGGAACTTGAAACCAAAAACAGGCAGCTAAAAACCACTAGCACTTGGTCCCAATGTCCTCCCCAGTCTCCCTGTCCATCCTGCATGTGCCACTTGTGACTGTACCTGTGCCGGCCACCCTGTGTAAGACCCACCTCTCCCCTCTCCTCCAGTATGCCTTTCTGGTGACAGCATCTGTGCAGTTTGCTGGTGGGATCGTCATCTTCTTCGGACTCCTGGTGTCACCAGAGGAAATTGGTGAGGAGAAGCTGTCTTTTCCTTTCAAAGTGCTTGTCGGTTTGGGGTCTGAGGTCTGGAAACGGAATCTTCTTTTCCTAGGACAGCTGAGCTTCTTGCAGTGAATTACAGGAGCGGTTTTGCATTTTGTGTGCTGTGGATGTGGTAGTCAAACCTGGGGCAGCTGCCCCTGTTTGAGAGTGATGCACACCTTTCACATGTGCAGGAAAACGTTAGCAAATGCCTTTTCTTTCTTTCTTTTTTTTTTTTTGCCATCCTGGAGATCAAACTCAGAGCCTCACTCATGCCAGGCAAGTGCTCTACCACTGAGCTGTGTTTCCAGCTTGCAAATTATTTTTATCATTGTGACACTGGCTAGGAATTAGCATGAATGTGTTTCCAATTTCACTTTTTGTTTGTTTGTTTGAGACAGGGTCTCACTATGTAGTTCAACCTGACCTTAAATTCACTATGTAGCCCAGGCTGGCCTCAAACAGCAATTCTCATGCCTCAGCCTCCTGAGACCTGGGATAACAGGCATGCACCACCATGCCCAGCTCCAGTTTCACTTCTTAAGACTGATTTTTTTTTTTTCCTTCGTAAGAATGATTCAGTTTGGGGCTGGGGATGTAAACCAATGCAGAGCACTTGCCTGGCATGCCTGAGGCCCTGGTTTCAATCCCCAGCATCACATGCCCCCCCACCCCCCACGCACACGAAGATTCAGTTTGATAATTACTTATGGTTAAACACAGAATGGGGCCTGGGGATTTAGTTCAGTGGTTTTGCCGCCTGCTGCGCAAGCACAAGGACCTGAGTTCGATCCCTGGTACCAAAAACAAAACAAAACAAAAAAATGAACACAGAATGGGTACTAGGGAAACCATAGAAGCAGAAAGGTATGCAATTCGTCCATCCCTGAGTAGTAGTATATGGGCAGTGTGATCTTAATCGACCTTAGTTGACCTTGGTTGATACTTCTACAAGATGGAAATAAAAATGGCAAGAACTCCAGAAGTGATAGACAAAGTCCTTTGCGCCACACCAGGCACTCAGTAGGTACTCAGTAAATGGTAGCTCTGGTTTTCATTTTAGGTCTCCCAGGTGTTGAAGGAAAAGAAAACCTTGAAGAAGACTCACGTAGGCCATTAATTAATGCCGAAAATGAAGATGAATATGAGGCTACTTATTCCATCCAGGAGGCCAGTGCCATCACTCAAGTGAAGGCAATAAGCTTTGGCCAGGCTTGCTGCCTGCCCGGAGTCATCCCGGTAAGGACACTCCAGCCTCCCACGGGGACCGTGCTGTGCTGCTTGCTGTGTCTGGGCTTGGGCTGCTCAGGGTCGGTGGTGTCTCCGATGCCTGGATTTCAGGAATATGTACTCAGGAATGTCCGAGGCTCCTCTAGGGCCTAATGCTGGTCAGCCCAGAAAGAGCCAGAGTCTCCCTGGGAAGAGCCAGAGAGCACCTATTTTCAGCTTTGAGGAACCATAAAATGAAGGTACAGACAGTGTGGGACAGATGCACATGGCCGGGTTGGACCTATGAACCCTGTCTTGCTGACCCTGATGTAGAATGTGACTGTCTCTGGTCTGCCCAAGTATTATAGTATTATGTGTAGCCCAAGAAGGGCCTGCGTCCTGCCTGTTCCAGGTCAGAGAACTCGCCTGCCCTCTCTGTTAGGAGGTCCAGAGCCGAGTGCTGCAGTGTTTCTCGTACCTAGTCCCAGGTCCCCTTGGCCTCTGCAGTTGGGAAGCCTTGCAGGCATCTGCACCAACTCCCTTCCGAGTTTTTCCTGTCTGGTGCTTTGGGCTCTCTAGCACTGGCCTGCAAGTGGGGGCCCTAGGTTAAGTCTCCAGCTTCCCCCTCATTCTCTGGGAGGCCTGGTGTGAGTCACTCAACCTTCTGGTGGGGTAGAACTTACCTTGGGCTTCCTGGGGTCTGGAACATTGGGTTAGTATGTGGTGAATAAGCAGCTGGGTTTGGGTTTGTTTTTTTTCACAGTACTGGGGATTGATTCCAGAGCCTTCACCCTGAGCTGTATCTTCTGCCTTCTTTTGTTTTATTTTGAAACAGGGTCTCACTAAGCCACTGCATTGCCTGGGCAAGGCTCAAACTTGTGATCCTGCTGCCTCAGTCTCCCAGAGTGCTGGGATTAAGGGAGTGTGCCGCCATGCCCTGCTTTTTATTTCATTTTTTAGTGATGTTTGTGAACATAGCCCCCAGGTAGACTCAGAGTGTCCAAGTACTTTCATGCTTACGGTACCAACTCTCTTTTGCCCGTGCTTCCAAGCTATAAAAACAAACACTTCAAATTACTCAATGTAAGTTAAAACCAGGTAATTTTCCACAATTCTTTCCCTCAAAGATAAGGGAAATGCTGGTATCTTTAGGCCTTTTTTTTATGCTAAGGTATTATCTTTTAGCTAGTTATTAAAATACTCCACTGGTGGTAGTTAATTGTTGAGACACAACTGGAATTTGTTGTGAGTGAGCAGGAACTCTTGCAGTTCCTTTGTCCTCACAGCCATTGTTCTCGAGGTAGGCAGGCTGGTGAGGAAGGAAGTTTAGTTAACTTCAGCCTTTGTCCCTGCAACGGGCTGTCCAGATGGGTACTCTGGTGACTGGGATGTGGCTCTCTGGGGGGTGGCTCCTGCCTGGCCAGGGAAGCACTTTTAGCAGGTGACATCTAGGGACTAAGCAGCAGCTCCAGGGCCAGGAGCTTGTGCACGAGACACCCTTTGAAGTCACCAGCTCCGACCCTTCTCCTTTGATGCTAAATGTCAGGATTTCCTGGTAATAACATGTTCCGTATCTGAGGCTCAGTCCAGCGCCATCTTAAAGCAGCTGCAACTGTTTTCCCTCAAAAGAGAGCCATGAGGCTGAGGACGCCCATATTCCTTCCTTTTTGACTTCCGAAGATGCTTTTTTTCGCCATTGGCTGTGTAGTGTGGGGTTTTTGGCAGCCATGGTGTGAGAGTAGTTCCCATGGGAATGCCGTCCTAGACTTCAGGTCCATGGCAGAGCTGTATTGCAGTACTAACTGTGCAGGAAGTAGAAGAGCTGCTTGCAATGGAAGCTGTGACGTTTGCTAGATATATTTGCCTGTGGCTAATGCCAAGCAGTGGCAAGAATACCACTTGCATGCCTTCTGGGTTCCAAACACTGGTTCGTTTCTACCACAGAACTGATGGGAAGAACCCGGGAATGTTCGAGAGTGGCTGTCTGTGGCCTTTATTCTAAAAGCCTTTCTAGGGCCAGAGATTTAGCCCAGTGGTTCTGTCGCCTGCCTCGCAAGCGCAAGGACCCGAGTTTGATCTCCGGTACCAAAAGAAAAGAACATATTTTAAAAAAAAACAAAAAAAACCCTAAAAGCCTTTCTAGAAGCTGCTGGCAGTGAAGAGAAGAAGGAGACTGCGTAAAATTAGGCAAACAATTTGTAAAGATGTTAATTTTAAAACCAGGTACCATGCCAGGCGTGATGGCGCACGACTGTAACCCCAGCACTTGGGAGGTTGAGGCAGGAGGATTGCTATGAGTTCAAGCCAGCCTGGACTGCACAGCAAGACCCTGTCTCAAAACCCCCCAAAACAAAAACAAGTATTGTTGACCTCAAATGCTTATATTTTATGTTGCTTTTTAATATTAAAAGTTGTGGGAAGCTGGAAGAAAAGCTGAAAAGGAACCTAGAAAAAAAAAGATCTCAGAGATAGAATTAGATTAGTTCATCCAAGATTTGGAAAGAGAATTTAAAAAATGGGAACAAGAGAAAAAAGAAATCCAAGACAGACTAAAAACAATGAAGAAGAAAATTAAAAAGGGTTTGAATGCCAATGAAATGTCTACCCTGAAAAATGATGGAATGGATAAGGAATATGAATTACATCTGGATTAAACAAAAGAAAAAGTTGTGGCCTGGTGAGGTGACATATGTCTGTAGTTCCAGCACTCGGAAAGTTGAGACAGGATCAACACAAGTTCACAGCCAGCCTGGACTACACAAAGATTGCAAGGCCAGCCTGAGTGAGAACCTGTCTCAAAAAACAAAGCATTGGGCTGGGGATTCAGCTTAATGGCACCTGCCTCACAAGCACAAGGTCTTGAGTTTGATCCCCGGTACCAAGAAACAAACAAAGCAGAAGAAATATTAAAAGTTGTGGCCATGCCATGCTGGTTGTCCCTTCCTAATAGCTGCATATTTCTTTTAGTACTCCCTGGCCTATGCCTGCCTGAAGCTGGTAAATTACTCCTTCTTCTTTTGGCTGCCCTTCTATCTGAGTAACAACTTTGGCTGGAGGGAGGCTGAAGCTGACAAGCTGTCCATCTGGTACGATGTCGGTGGAATCGTAGGTATGCTGGGGCACATCTTCCTCGGAAAGGAAGGGATTAATCACTAGTCATCTCTTACCAGGTTAGGAAATGTGGCTTCATTGAACTTTTATTACTTACTCTGCTGCAGCCATTTTTCCTAAGTGCTCCTACCAGTAAAAGGCCCTAGAGAGGAAGTGCAGTCAGGCAGGGCTGTGGCTTCTGGGGCTCTGCTTCTTCTTCTTCCGAATTGGGAAGTGCTCCGGAATCTCTTCCCTACACTTGCAGTGATGCCTTGGTTCTAAAGCACATTGTGTGAGACAGCCAGGTTAGAGACTGAATGTGTTCTCTCCGCTACCTCCCTCCTTTCCTACCACTCCCAGCCAAGGAAGCAAAAGTAACACCTTAGTGTATAGACTGTCAGATCCAAGAGGTGGCAACAACAGAAGGGATTGATTGGGTATTTTGCAATTGCTTCATTGTACATGACAGGTTTTCATAGTGACTTAGCACTGTGGCTAGGAGTATGAACACGGAAGTAAGGAACTTGCAGATCTGGAAGAACTGAAGGCCCTTTCGTGGTTATTACTTACATGGCGGTAACGAAACCTTCTTATCCTCTAATCAGTGTTTCCACCAGGGTTGTGTAAGACTGAGCTACCCAGAGCACAGGAACCACAGTCTGTGTCCTTAGGTGAACCTGGCTGCCCTTATTCGTAGATCCAGAACCAGAGGGGAGGTTGGCACCTTTCCACCTGAGCACGCTTCTGCGTCCCTGAAAGGAAGATTGCCTTGGTACCTGAGGTCTGATGAGTGTGTTCCAGATGCCCTGTAGTCCCTGGACCTCAAACTGGCATTCTCCGAATGTGACATGTCACCCAAAGGGTTCACATCCTCTCTTCTTAGCACTCTGACCTGTTAATTATTACTGAACCATAGTGGGTGCATTTAATTTTCCACTATTAATAGCCTGTGAGGGATGATCCTTAACTAATCATGCTTTAAATTGCGCCTGCCTTGCAAGCTCAAGGTCCCAAGTTTGATCCCCAGTACCCAAAAAATAAATTAAAAAGCAGACCAATCAGGAAAGCGTCTATAGCTACTTTTTCTAGGGAAAACAATAAGGGAGAGTGGATAGTTTTAGGGGCTTTTTTCAGCCCAATGTTTGATCCACCCCAGCGATGTAGGTCAGCTCATCTTCCTGTGAGGAGAGGGTGGTGGGCCCTGGAGAGAGCTGGCATCTTTGCGGATGGGCTGCTGGTGGGAGTGCAGGATTGGGGTGGAGGAGCCAGTTTTGACCTGTTGTGCTATCCATGTTCAAGGTGGGACGCTGCAAGGCTTCATCTCGGATGTCCTGCAGAAGAGAGCACCGGTGCTGGCCCTCAGCCTGCTCCTGGCAGTCGGCTCCCTCGTGGGGTACAGCCGTGAGTATCCCCTGCCTGCATTGTATGGGAGCAAGTGTGTGCTTGGAATCGAGGTTGGCTCCAAGCCCAGCCACCTCCACAGGTCTGGGGGCGCCTGAGAATGCGGTTGTCACCCAGCATTGTTTGTGGCGGGAGGAAGCTGGCCAAGCTCCTTCTTGTGGTTTGTTTAAAGGCTTGCTCAGGAGCATATGTGCTTTGTGTGAGAGGTGGCTCCAGAGGGACTGTATTAGAGCCAATAAAACAATAAAAGGGGCAAGGTTTCAAAAGCGAGCTGAGGCTAATTAGCCGGCGTGGGACTCGTCCCTTAAGATGCTGCTGAGACAGGCCGAGCTTCCTTTGGCTTTTAGAAGTCTCGTTAGCTTGAGGCAGACATGACAAATAAAAACTGGCAGAGGCAGTAAGAGTTGCCTCTCTTTGTTGTCCTGGGAGGGATTTGTGAGGTCGCAGAGAACCAGACCTTTGTGTACACTTGGCGGAGCCACATGTCATTACTTCCCTGGTCACCATGCTGCATCTGTGTCTCCTCACAGGGTCTCCCAACAATAAGTCCATCAATGCGCTCCTGATGACGGTGACAGGTACTGTGATGGCCGTGCAACTGTTCTGTCCTGGGAAGTTCAGGGGGGTGAGGGAGATTGTCCCCCTCAGCTTAAGCAGTGCCAAAGCCTTAGTTATCCTGATTTTTGTGGTACTAGGGATTGAACCCAGGGAGAGTTGAGCTATACTCCAAGCCTTTTTGTATTTTATTTTGAGATAGAGTATCATTAATCTCACACTTACGCTTCTCCTGCCTCAGCCACATGGTGAGGACATTCACTGTGGGGAATTGATACAGGTATAAAACACATCTCAAC